GTGACGGGACGAACAAGTCGTGCGCCTGATAGTAAGCTACACGCCTGTCCATAACAGTTGCATTTTTTATTTACTTAAAATCGCAAAGATCTGAGGGGCACTGCCACTGCGCCCGTTACCCTGAGGCTTAAGTTGACAAGTCCCACGTGTTTTGTAATTTCACCAACACCCCTACCCTTCAAAACCGTAATACAGTAATGGTGACTTGGCGGCAGAAATAGGTAAGGTGGCAGTATTTCCCTGGACAAATTCTTTCACGAGGAGCTCTACTGCTACTAAATATACGAATTTTATATAATCTTTTATATGGTTGGTTGTATCATGTCCTTTTTAAACATGTGCGTTAGTCAATTTATGCAACTTTTTTATTTTTGCAATGTTTCGATACAGTTCACTTAAAGATATGTAGTTCGTTTTTAACGTAAATAACGTATACATTGCTACAACGAATGTAACTTTCTTGTTCTTAGAAAAAACTATGCCCAACAGTGAAACAATATTGAGTCCGGATACATTGTACTACCGTGTTACTCAGTTAACGTCTTTGTTACAGCCAATCACCAAGTCTGATGATACTAACTTCAGTCTCGTAATAGTAAATTTACATCGTGCAAACAAAAAATCACGTTAAGTCACATAGAGTTACGTGATATTTGTCTCAAGTAATCTCAAGTAACTGCTATTCCATAATGATGTTGTTAACAATGCTTGCAGTTTTGTTGCGACAGTTTTTTTCATTATTGCTGTTAACTTCTCTGTTCGAGAGTAAGTCATTGATTTGTGCCTTAGTTAGAATGTAAATTGTTTTGTACGTCCCATAAAATGTAATAAATTTTAGACACATCTAAAGTGTCTAGGTATCAAGGTTTCTTTAAATATTTGATTATCCTATTAATAAAATAAAAATGTGTATATACATTTATTAAATTATCTATTTATTGAGTTCTTAGATTTTCGCGATTGTTACACATGGGAAATGAAACTATTTTTCCGGTTGGTCAACCGCAACCATGAGACCCGTAAAGGGCCCGTTGTTTTGTTTGAAAAAACAAATATACTCGTTTGAAATCCGTAAAAATGGTTTAATTTCCAATATCTATTTATTTTTTCATTTATGAAATTGAGAAAAGACTTAATTAAAAAAAACGGATTTTCAATAAATGGCAAACATGTGCTCAAGCACAACGAAACACATCGAAAGTATCTAGGGATCAATCCCTACATACTTTCGATGTGTGTAAAATAAAAAAAATACTATATAGTTTCCAGTTGCTATTAAATCGCACCTAGGTTATAATAATGCTACGTCCGCAAAATATCAATTTTTCAGAAGAGCATTATAAAGATTTACTACAAACGAAATTCAGCGATAACTTCTTATACTTAAATAGAAGAATTATAAAAATTCACATTTACATAATTTGTTTAATGTAGTTAAATAATTTTAATGTAGTTAATTATACCTTTCATGTTATAAAAGCATTTTTGACGTAAGAGCGCATGTGACTTTATTATACCAATGGTACGAAATGGTTGTCATAGAAGGTTACTAAAAGAAAAAAAACTCGAAAAAAATTATAAATCTAAAGTAAAGATGATCTACAAGCGCGTTATAGTTTCAATCAATATCACGACGATTTCAAGTGTGGTGTATCAAGTACTTACGAAATAAAGATATTTGACTTGAAAACTAGGAGCTATCTTCTCATGAGCAATATTCCCCTTAATATATTTAGACTGCAGCTAAGATTCTATAAGCCGATTGTCTTGCCAAGACTAAAAGAAAATAAATACTTCTTACAATTAAGCAGCCATAATACATCTATTTTATAAATGAATAGTCTCAATAAAATAAGTTATGGGCCTGGTGGTAAGCGACACGCCTGTTCAAACAGTTGCAGTTAAACCGCAAAGATCGGAGGGGCACTGCCACTGCGCCCGTTACGCTGAGACATAAGTTGACAAGTCCTATGTGCTACAGGCATTTCACCAGCACCCCTATCCCTCAAAACCGGAACGCAATAATGCTTACATTACTGCCTGGCGGCAGAAATAGGTAGGGTGGTAGTACTTCCCTGGACGAACTCTTTCACAAGGAGCTCTAATACTACTAAAGCTATAAATTAAAAATGCATATTAGAAGCTCGTGGAATATGGAATACGAAACGAAGAATACGTGCGAAACACAAAATTACAAACAAGTTAAATTTATGTTGAGTCTCGTCATTCGAAGCCGCATGAGATAAGACTGCCATTTGTGTCACAACATACGCATCTGCAATTCGGTAAATTTTGAGATATTATTAAAAAAATGTCATTTACGCGGATTTTGCTTAAATAAGATATTAAAGGGGTTATATAAATCTCGTAGTATAGATAAAGAGAGCGGAAGAGAACTCGGAGCATTGCAGATTTTCAAACAAAACTAGTGACGTTCCTGTCTTATTGTTGAAATATCTGTTAGAAAACGTAGTTGGCAGTCACAGGTATTGAATAATTCATAGTGTCAAAGAAGATTCTTAAAATTCCATAAGTTTCTCACAGGTGACGCAGACGGATAAAAAGCCGTAAACCCATACAAAGATCTGCAACTGGAACATAGACAAATTCCTAGGATCTGCTAACTGTGTCTGCAGCTCAGTTGGTACGAGCCAGCTACTGCCACAGTGTAATATCATCTGACATCTCGACTATTTTGGTTTTACATAAAAAACCCACCTCAAAATTAATTCATCCCTTTAGAGGTGCAATACTTTCTTCATATTTAAATGGGATCACATCTGAGGCCTCTTTCCAACCAAAAAAGGATCATCACAATTGGTTAACAAATGCCGAGTTATCGCGTAATATACAATTAAGTATAACGTATAGTATTTCCATTTGCATCCAATGCTATTCAAAAAAAAAACATACAGTCGCATTAAGAACCTACTCCTTTTTTGAAGTCGATTAAAAGAGAACTGTGAGATCCATATACAGCATTTTATTAAACAGGACAGTATGTGGAAATCCGAAACCAAAGAAGAAGATACAAGGAAACTATCTTAGGAAACATTAAGTCTTTTTTGTGAAAAACAATTTTGGCATAGTCAATTTTTTGGTCAAGCGTGAGTTATTCTGCCACTATGACAACATTCTTTTAGCGAAAAAGATTTAGAGGTTCCTAAAACAATTTCCTTGTATCTGCTATGGTTTCGGATTTCCCCATAATGTCCGATTTAAAAAAAAGTCTTTATGGACCAGGATACAATTTCTCCCTGAAATGTTCAAAGAAACTAATATTCTAACGGTAGCAACACAGTTTATTTTATTATATTTTAATTATGAATTCTTTTATTTATTTTGCATAAGTATTTTTGATTAGTTACAAGTGTTTGTGAGTCAGGCTTACTTGAATGAAACTTCATTATTATTATAACCCCGATGTGACAGCAGACGCCGGTTTGAGTCCAATCAAATCGAAGGAATTTTTCTTTTTGTTGATCGATCTTCCTGTCAATAATAATACCAAACTACTTGTGTATTTTGACAAAGATTATTATGAATATGACGGTAGTATAAACTTAATGATATTCAATACAAGATACTTGAAATATTTTACAGAATGACACTGCGTTTACTCTAAACGACATAGCTTATTTTCTAATTAGATTCTTGTAAACGAAAGTTACATAAGAAGTGATTTTACATTTTCGTAACTTAAACCCGTAAGTTATGGTAAGCATGTACTAGTCTGTCGTAAACATAGCACATTGCATGGCAGTCTCAGAGAGGTAGTGGTTTGTAAAATGGTCAGTTACAAAACTGTCCGAGTATGACTATTAAAATTAGATGCGTCTAACATTTCTTCACATTTATTCAATACGCTCATTCAGTAACCTTAAGTGTACAGAGTTGCCAAACGGTAAACAACTTTCCGAGAACAATAAATTTTATTGGACATAAATTTCTAGAAATGTACAGTCGCTGCAACACGCAGTAGGACGACGAAAATAAGTTTCGAATATTTTTATTTTTATCAAACGGCTATCGTGCTAATCTCGGACGCAGAAGTCCCAAGTTCAATTCCCAGAAATATTTGTTTGGCCTACATTTATTTCTCTCTCGTGAGTTTGGGTGTAATTTGTGGTTGTCTTTATGTATGTCCATGGCACCCGTGTTTCCTTAGTGCGGGGCTACGAGTGTGTACGCATTATTTGTTATTATTATTAATTTAAAAAGAAGTGACACAACAGGCTTTTTTTATCTAATGTTGATTAATGTCATGGACATTTTCATGTCTGAAATTATTATTAAACACTTTTGCAATCACCTGTACTTACTAGTTTAATTTATATGTCCTATTACGCAATATTCTGTTCGCATGAATGTATCTGGATAACTAGTATTCGTACTTTTTATGTATTAGCTCATTAGACAGTGATAAAATATGTGCATTTGAGATATATGAAATTAACACTGCGACATAGGCCTAAAAATTGAACCGTATTACGCAAAACACAGGTCGTTAGTACGTGTTTATTGTCTAGAGAGCAATGGTAGGTAAATTTCGTCACACGACGCATTACCCAGAGGCGATCCAAGCGGCTTACCATGCGATACGAATCTGGGTCATATTATTTCGTGTTTCGCAAAATTTCATACACTGTGATCCACTTTATAATAAGCTTACATACCAATTACAATAAACTGGGAAGAAAACAAAATATCATAATTAAACGTTGGCATAGCCAAACTTTAATCCACGTCAGTTCGTATAAAAATACTGGTAACATTTTCGCGTTAAAAAAAGAAAAGAGTGTTTTAAAATTTTTCGCAACTTAAAATAACAGGTACATCAACTCAAAAGACTAAATAACAGTCACCGATTTGGTTAAACAAAAATCTTAACAAAAATTAAAAAAAAGACTATAAATGAGAGTATTATATCAGTGCTGTCGAAGGCAGGTCGTGAAATAAATCCTCCAGGGATCTGATTGTTAAACCACTATCCACTTTGATGGTATATTTCACGGTCTCTCCTCGTAGTTACTGTGTTGAGCTTATATTTATATCACATTCTGTTTTCTGCCTCCTGCAGCCTCTATAGCTTACATGATCTCAATACTCGTGACCATGACCATGACCGACGACGACTGGGACCGGAACCTTAACGGGATAAGGCACGTGTTTTTCAATGTGAACGGGCACATGCTTCTCAATGTGGACTGGGTAGTGCCTGATAACTGGAACCTTCACTGGGAATGGGACGGGTTTCTCCACTGGGTACGGGATGTGCTTCTCAACTGGGTAAGGAGCAGGCACGGGCACCTTCACGGGGTAAGGCACTGGCTTCTCAACATGCACGGGGTAGGGCCTGTCGACGTGGACCTTGACGGGGTAAGGCACGGGTTTCTCAACGGGATAAGGTACTGGCTTCTCAACTGGGTAAGGTACAGGCTTGGGAATATGCACGGGGTAAGGCCTGTCGACTGGAACCTTAACGGGCACATGGACTATTTTCTCAACTGGGTAAGGAGCAGGTACATGGACGGGCACCTTTACGGGGTAAGGAATCTTTTTCTCTACTGGGTAAGGTGCAGGCACGGGGACCTTGACAGGCACATGGATGTGCTTCTCAACTGGGTAGGGCTGGGGAACATATACCTTGACGGGGACGGGCCTGTCTACGTGCACATGAACGGGTACTGGAATTTTCTTTTCAACGGGATATGGCTGAGGAATGTGAACGGGCACTTTGACGATCTCTTTGACTGGGTAGGGAACGTGTTTCACAACGGGGTAAGGTTGGGGCACTGGCACCTTTACGGGCACGGGGACCTTCTTTTCAACTGGGTAAGGGATGTGTTTCTCTACAGGATAAGGAACGGGCACGTTCTTAACAACAGTGACGGTTTTGTGGACTTCTTCATGACCATGACCGTAGCCACCGTCAAAACCGCCGCCGAAACCGCCGTCGAAACCACCATGTCCGTAACCCAATCCAATGTCAAAACCTCCCAGTCCTCTCTTTTCGTGTTTTTTGTCGTCAGATGCTGCTTGATCTTTCTTGTCGGTCACTGCCACTTCCTTTTCTGCTTTCTTGGCTTCTTCGGCGTTAGCGAAGGCCAGGATAGCCACCAGACTGGTGGCCACGAGCTGAAAAAAATGTTTTGATTATTATGTGTAATTTTGAATACATGTTGAGACAGCGTTATTGTATATTTCGATTTTATCACATTTAATTAACAGATATTTAAAGGCTCTTTAATAAGTGGCCAATTCCAGCGGCACACAACACGCAATTTCCTTAGTATTGCGTAAACGCAGAAGTGGGACAAGGGGGCTGTGTAGAGATTTGAGTGTGCGAAATCCAGCAAATTGCACGTTTCAGAGCCACTAAACACTGTCACAGCACTATTAATTTTTAGCCAGCACTGTCACTGAAATTTAAATTTCGAACAATATAATTTGAGAACACACCATGAGCTTCATAATGCTATGCTTGTAGGTTGCACTGAAGCCAACGAGGTCCTGAATGCGAATGATGCGTGTTGCCCCGTAGCTTCGCTATATATACGAGGTAAGAACCGGCCGAGCGAAGAAAAAAAATGGCGCCACTTTGTAGGACTACGTTACACTTTCGCTTTTGAGGGGTTAGGTTTCGAACGTAAAGCCGAAATGCTCTACATCTGTACAAAGATTTTACGGGCCGGTTTGATGTTCAATGAAATAATATTGATTGGCACTAAACTTCTCTAAAGCCTAAATACCCTTAATTATTCGTTAGAGTCGTTTCTTATCTGTTTAAATAAGTTAACAATTACAATTGACATTCATGAATAGCTTTCTCGCGTTGTTTAACGTTTTTAATTATGATAATGAGTCATTCTGTTCCAATATCAATATAATATATTGTGTACATTTTTTTAATAATCATCTAAAAACATGACTTCAATATCTAATCATGTAATTACCTATCAGATATTTCAATATTGCGTGGCAGTTCTTCAAAATGGGGAATAAGATGCTTGACTTTTTAGATTGTCTGTTTTGTTGAAACTTTGATTCTTTTTTCTGTACCAAAACGTTATAAGATAGCAATAATCGTATTTTAGTTACAAATATTTGTTCATTTATCAAGAGTTCTTTTTCATCATCATCATCAACCCATTATACGTCCCACAGCTGGGCACGGGTCTCCCCACAGGCGAAGGTTTAAGCTATAGCCCCAATGCGGGTTGGATACGTTTTCCGAGGATTGTGAACCTCCCTCGAAGTGCAGGCTTTACGACGATGGTTTCCTTCACCGAAAAGCTCATAGTACATTAAGTACGTAAGAGGTGCGAGATAGGTTGCGAACCCACGGCCACTGCTTGAGAGGCGGTAGGTCAAACAATTAGGCTACCACGGCTGTTCTTTTTATTTATTACAAAATAAGTAATACATTTATATTTAATTTTTGTGTAATTACAACTACTAACAGGGTCCTCCCGTTCACAATTTGGCTCATTACAAAATGCACTACATTAATTATCGTATTGCATTATAATTTCTCCTTGTAACAGATAAGCAACACGGCAATGCGTCGACGCAGGCGTCAACGACGGTTTTAGATCATTTCTATCGATACACGAACATTACGATGTTTTCGCAACTGTACCTTATTCATTTCACACGAGTGATTGAAAACGCACTTATTTGTTAACACAATAGATTATTTTAAAGAGCAGTTTTGTTGTTGTTAATAAACAAATGAAAATCGCTTGTATTCTCTAGTCATATTTCATCTTCTTCTTATAGTATCGATGGCATGCACTATATTATCGCGGCCCAGAATTTAACCACGCTGATCACGACACAAGTAGCCGCCATGCTGACCTGTGCATGGAACATGTTTGTCATCGTGGTGAATGGGTTTGCCATTCGGCGTAAGGTACACGTCGATTGTAGTCCAGGGTGCGCCAGTCACACTAGGAATACGACTCGTACGTGATTGCCTACGTAACTGCCGTTTTACTCCGTGGCCGAACAGTTTTTACTAGCAGTAGAGCTCCTTGTAGAAGAATTCGGTTTTTTTAACGCAACACACTCATAGCCACGAAATAGGGAATCCTTGTATCGCAGGTGCCATGCACAAACATGTAAACAACTACAAATTACACCCAAACTCATGTGAGAAATAAAAGTAGGCCATACCCAGAACCTCTGTGTCCAGCCTTAGACAAATACTGCCACCTTTTATGTTTCTGCCACCAAGCAGTAATGAGAACATTACTGTACATCAGTTTCGAAGGGTGAGAAAGCTAATAAAATTACAGGCACATGAGACTTGTCAACTTATATCTCAGGGTGACGGGCGCAGTGGCAGTGTCACTCTTGCAGATTGGCACTGCAACTGCTATGGACAGGCGTGTCGCTTAACACCAGGCGCACGACTCGTTCGTCCTCTAACTTGGTATATAAATAGCTTCTCTGCCGCGCAACCGTTCCTAATTCGATCCCTGGGCCAGGAGAAATACTAATGACTAGTAAGAAATATATTTCTCTTGTGAGTTTATGTGTAATTTTTGGTTGTCTATGAGTGTGTCCATGGCACCCGCGATTGAGGGTTTCCCTAGTGCTTGGTTATGAGTGTTTGCATTATTTATATTGCTCATAGAAATTTATTTATAAATAAACCCAGAACAATGTCTAAAATGTTACAAAATCAAAGACATTAACGCCTGACCGAAATGTCTTATGTAAAGTACGTAAAATTTTACATCTTACAGTTGTGCATGTCTTTAATGCGTAAATTATAATTTTTTGCCAGTCTCCATTATTTTCTGTTTAATTTCAATGGTCAATGACAAATCTCACGCCAATTATCAGTTTTTATCATTGAAATATAAACCTAAGCATATTTATTTTTAGTCATAAAACTTAAAGTAACACAAGTAAATGCAAACGATGCATACTTAATTCAAAGTCACGTGTTACTTCAGTGAATCAACAAGCAAGGTTTGTAACATTTTATGTCGGCAATTAACAATTCTACACACCATGTTTTTTGTCTTGAGACTCCCATGACGGCTTCAATACCTTAGTCTGAACAACATCGCTTTCCGTGAAGGTAAAATGTAGTTACTTGGTGGATGGTTACATAAGTAGTTACTTAAGTAATATAGCTTATAATGTGTTATAAATGAACGAGATAAAGGACTCCGTATGTTTATTACTTACACATTATATTCTAAAATTAAACAAAAAAAGATATCGAGTTCTTAAATTTATGTGATTGTTGCTATTTGGTGAGAGATAAATGAGTACACATCTCATCACTATATCAGCCGTAACCATGGGACTTATAAAGAGACTGAAACGATGGTTTGTTTGAAAAATAAATATTCACGATTTGGGTTCGAAAAAATTGCTTTATTTCCAATAGATTAAAAGATGTATTGGGTCTCCGTGGCTCAGAATTTAATCTCCATCTTTATTATCGCACCTTCAGCCCTAAAGTGACTTCATTAAAAAAATAACAACACTGGAAAGATAAAATGTCTGACGTGCATTTGGAAAATATTACAATAGAACAATTTAAAGTATTTTTTATTTTCACAAAAAAATCAGAGCGCTAATTTTATTTGTTATATGGAAAAGATGAAACTTTCTAGTTTTATTAAAAATTAGAGTTATGATTTTTCTTTCCTTAAAAAAATTACTTCAATTCGCTGTCCTGTAATGTTTTCCTAATGCACGTTAGACGTTTTACCTTCGAGTGTCATTTTTTAAAACGAAATAAAACTAATAATAATAATGTATATTTTTTTCATAACAAATAGAATTTTGTCACATTTGGCACAAGTCACATTGCATACATAGCTACCAAAATTATTTGTCAGTTTTCCAATAATTATTATTTTTTATTTACGTCACTTTATTACGTCTGTGCTAATCCTTTCAGCGAGGTCGCTGGCAACTCTGTTCTGTTCCATTTGTAATTTTTTTTAATATGATATATGCTTTCGAAGGTCATGCATACTTCAACTTGTACAATTTTTTGCAAGTCAATAAAATAACCATACAATATTTATCTTAATAAAATTTTTATTCACTATCGATAAGGAAGCTTTTACAAAAATAAAACTTCACTACCTTTAAGCAAGAAACTGGAGTCCGTACTAGGTAACTAAACCCGTGTTACAGATATACGGTCTCCCACTCGGTACAGTTTTTGTACACGTTTGATTCTGTACTTATCTATAAATAATATGGAAAATACAAAAGCAGTAACCTAAACACTCACAACAAAGACACTTGTCTTGACACTACACCATTTCGGCAACTAAGCCCTGGGGCTTTGTTTAACAACACGTCCAATATTGAGTCATTGAGATTTGGATACTTACATAGGAGTATATTCCGTTATATATGAATTTATGCCTGTGTTCGCCATGTAAACGTGGAAAGCTTATCCATGGAACATCCACAACATAGGGGTGGAACTCCAAGCTACGTCTAATCCCCCGATGATGGAAAGGGGAAGGCAGTATTAAATCATGCAATTCCATTGCACACTCTCCGCTAATTGCAACAATCTCAAAAATCTCAAATTTGTTTCTCTTAAGCATCTCAAACGCAGCGTACAAAATCGCCAGTGTTAAAGCACATTAAGATAGACGGCTACGCATAGTACTAAACGTTGTTGCGTAAACCGCTCATTCACTCAGATACGATTTTGCCGTAGAATGTCATTCTTTAGCCAAGGTCCTTTTTGTTCTAGAACGTACATTTTTCTTTGTTCCAAATATTAATTTTTGAAATAATTTACTTGTGATGAAGGATATGTGTATTTCTGTATTTTTCTGACTTTTTATTATTCTGACGACTAAAACGGAACCAATTGTAAGGACTTCTCAATTTTATCGTTTTAGACTGCTTGTCGTTTCGACTGAGGTGTTAAAAGATTACATCTTTTTTATTTATTCGTCATTAGGATCTTGATACAAAATTATGCAAAGAAACAAATGCATTTTTAAAGCATTTTTTACAATCTATTGACATATGTTTTGAACAAAACAGTAAAGCAATTTATTTATACCTTATATAGTATGTGTAGGCTGTATATATATAAATATATAGCCTACACATACATTTAATTATGCAATGAAAAATTAAATAAAGATGTTGTCATAAGTTCCAGCAGTAGCGCTCCTTGTGAAAGAGTCCGCCCAGGGAAGTACCGCTACTTGTTTGGTACCATCTAAAAAAGTTGAAACCGATATTATTACAGCCTTCTTACGGAATTATACACATATAAAACCAAGTAGTGTGTTTCAATTCGTATTTTTTTGTAGCTGAAAATACTCATAATTTCACCCTTCGTGTAAAAACACCACATCTGCAAAATTATAACTTTTCAAGAAGATTCTACGAATGAAATTATCAATTAACTTTTGTATGCATAAAAAGGGGATTTTCACATATACATAATTGTTTCATACAGTTAGTATTATCGTTATGATTTTTATAACTTGTTATAAAAACACTTTTACGTA